TGCCTGCGGGCCACACAAGCGTGACCCTCCCAGGAGCAGGAGGAGCAGACCGCTGCACCAGACACACACGCACCCCTACACCTCTCCTACTTCTACAGGCTGCACAGTGAAAAGAGCTTTTTCTCTTCTGCTTACAGACTCCTTCAACAGAAATTTAAATAAGAAAACATTTTTATCAGCACATTTATGGACTTGAGTAGTGGACAGTCTTTTAACATTGTGGACAGGAGCAAACAGAGCCCTCACTGAATGCCCTTCACATCAGGTTACAATCTGGAGCAGCACCATCCTGCCCTACCAAATCATCACCATGCCCTGATAGCAGAGCGTGTCTTTAACCCACGCTGAGGTTCCCCTGTGACGGAGCAGGCCCATGGAGCTCTGGACCACTACCCAGTGCTTTGCCGTCAACCTACAGGCTTTGTTTGGGGCAGCAGGATCATTTGTGCTTAACATTTTTCCAGGTAGAGTATGTTATGGAAGAGGGACACTGCTTATTTCAAAGGCAATGAGATCTGGATTCGGCTGAAGATGACATCAAGAGCCTTCTTGCGCTGTTCTCAGTTGCCTTATGCTTTAATGGCATTTCAAGATCAAACACTCAACAACATTTTACCAGCCCTGGACGAGAAGAACCGCAGTGCTGTCTTGTGATAAGGGGACAGCTCTCAAATCCTGGCACCACCACAGCATCCTGTAATTGCACGTTAGCTTGCCAACTAGTGGCAACGGGTCTGGAGCCGTAAAAATAAATGGCAGTTTACACACAGAGGGACTCTGATCTACTGTATTTGACATTGAGTCTCCTCCCTGCACAGGAACATACTTTACATTCTCATACTTTGAAGAGAATAAGCACTGTATTCCATTAGGCTACACATGCTGTTACCAGTCATAATACAGTCAACTTCTTACACTTTTAATTTAAGCCAACTGATTTTACTTCCAGCACACCCTGAAGTCCAAATCTGTCCCTGTGCTTCCCTGCTTGGCTTTACTGTTGTACCAAATTCCTGTCATTTTCTTCCTTCATGCACCATGGAAAGTTAAAAGCACCTCTCAGCAAGGAGCTATCTCAAGAAAACCTATCTAAAATTAGACTCAACTCAGATTAATGGACCAAACAAAAAAATACCCTGAGAGCTAAAATTAGAAGTAATCTAATTAGTGTCCTGACAATGATTTGTAACTAGGGAATTTCCCCTCTCCTTCCCTCCCACTCCTTCCACCAATGGCTTTGTCTGTCTGATTTTGAAACACACTTTAGACCCTAAGCAGAGATTAAGCAGGAAGAGGCTGGAATCTGTCTGCACTGTGACAGACGTGAAGAGTGAGTTTTCAGAGGAACTAAAATGCACCATTCGATTCTTCTTGGGCCGCTCACATCCATGGAGTCACCTACACAAGACAAATGCCCCCAAACCAGCCCCAAATCCTGCTACAGCCATACAGGCCTTTTTGTTGATTGATTAATCTCTGGGAGACTCAGAAGCCCTTGTCTGCTAGGAGACTCGAACAAGACTGAAAAACATTTGTCACAAACATTCACCTCGCTCTCTCCTGAGCTGACGATGAACAGGACAGTACTGTCTGTACAAATGGATCCCACAGATGCACACACACACAGCACCCCGGCATGTGCTTGGCCCCACTACATACACTAGGACTTGTGGGGAAAGCTTTTCAGCAAGGCTGACAGCATCCTTTGCATCTTACCTCCTCAGGTCTGCTCAGCACGTGGCCCTCAGGGCCGGTTATTCCCATCTCCAACATCCTGGCTTGTTCCTAAGACATCGAAATGACAGAAGCATGTTACAAAACAGTGAAACTCTCAATCATGCAGAAAAGCAGATCGCTCCCGTGCTGAGTCCTTCACTTGGGACTGTCACCATCCTGTGTCCTGTGGGACCACTGTGCATGGTGAGAGGCTGCTTAACCCACAGAGGGGTTGAGGAGGAAACAGGGAGGATGGGGAAATGGGAGGGCTTAGAGGGAGCACAGACACTGACTGAAACCTCTTCAATGAAACAAGCACAGCGTGGAGTAAAAAGGGGTAGAAAACTCCCCAGCTCCATGTACAGCACTTCACGTTTACAGTCCGTTTAAAGCCAAAAAAAAAAATATCTTCCCAAGGTTACTCCTAGATCCTCAGGGTTGTTACTTAATCACTGGGAAATTCACAAGTTCCAAGTCCTGTCCTGTATCAATTTCTACAGAAGCTGGTGGTGTGGGCTGTTGGTTCCAGTATTAGCATCATCCCAAGTATTTTGCTGTTATAATTCATGACCGTGGATAACTCTGTGTGTGCACCACATATGCTGGCCTGCTGATCACCTGCCTGTAACCTAGAGACTTCTCTTGCCATCCCTCATTTCAAACATCTCCCTTTGACAGAGGTCAAAGGAAATATGCAGAGGGAATCTTTCTGACTCTCACACCTTTATCCATGTGTTGTTGCTGCCTGTGGCAATGCACGTGTTTGCACATCTCTTCCCCTGCAACCTCCTCTCCTATATTGACCAAACTCTGGAGAAACACATATTTGCCAGGACCACTGAAAGTAAAATGGACTGAAATGGCAAACAGAGAGGGCAAATCCTCTGCCTTCTTCCTGGGAACCACCACCAGCAGATGACCACAAGCATCACATCTCTGTGCTAACGACACGCTGAGCCCCACTCCAGGTTGTAATGTTTCAATCAGTCTTGGCAGAAGGAAGCGATTCTCAGGGCGGTGACGTGCTACCAGCTAATAGTTTTGGGGGATTTTGTGGCTAGGCTGGTGCTGAGGTAAACTCTAGTTAAAATGATTTCTCTGTCAGTCTTGGTTTTCATGTGAAAGAGCCATCCAATTGTGCACAGCAGCTCTAAAAAGTCCGAAGAAAAAGTGATTCTTGTAGTCTGAGAGGATGTTTGAAGAATGACCTCTCAGTTCACACTCCTTCAGCTCCCAAGAATAAGAGAAATGAGCAAAAACAAGTAGATGCAGAGCATAACTGAGCAAGGTCTTCTCTGTCTTAATGAAAATTAAAATGTTTGGACTTTCTCTCGTCCAGCACCAGTTACAACACAGCGGGCCAATACAGGCTACCCACTTGAACATCAAACCACATCCCTCATAACAATTCCCTTGCAAGTCCAGCTCCATTAGCCAGCTGCTTGCTTAGAGCAGGGAGAAAATTCCTCTCTTGCTGCAGCACTTTGCAATACACTTTAACTCTCTTAGTAAGTTATGTGCACGGCAAAGGTCTCTGACTCTCCACACTGAAAGAGAGGTGTGATTGGAGTGAACGTACTGTACGTGATGGCCCACTCTCTTCCATTTAGATAATCACTAATCCACTATTTCAGATTCACTTCTGCACCACATATTCACAGCAGAAGATCATGGTAAATTTGTACTGCTGCTGAGGAGCACAGAGATCACCTTGCAACAAACATCCATGCAGCTTTAGAGTCATTTTGCTAATGCCCCACAGCAAATCTGCCTGGGATAGATCTTTCGGTCCCTGCATACCAGAAGGGCAGTCAGTTACCTGTGCAATTATATCCCCGTTTTCAGCATGAACTTGAGCTATGGCACCCAGCTCTGCCAGGCAGCTGAATATCTCATACAGCTAAAAGGGAGACAAGAACAAATGATTACAGAGCAGACAGACCACCCCGGCCTGTGCATGGCCGTGGGTGCCGCTCGCGGCAGGGCCCCTGCGGGCTCCAGGACTGACTCTGGCCACTGCTCCGCAGGCCCCAGGAGGTGCTCCTGGCGATCCTCACGCC